CGTTGAATCAACGTTATTATTGTCAATTTAATTTTTCTATAGCAACGTGACATATGTAGAACCCCGTCGAAGGTGCATCCTCACAGTTTGTATATCTATGTACTGTGTATCTATGTACTTGGTGGGACATATGCCTTTTTCTTTTATTCTTTAGGACATATACACCATCCGACTACCATAACGAAAACGCACTTCCTGGATTGCGAATCATGATGGATCATGAGTTTTTTTTTTTTTTTTTTTTTCTGAAATTAAATAATGGAAAAATGCTAGCACGTGCACTCGAGAGCATTTGAGGTATCGCTGCCCCTTCATTGTTATCGGTTGATTTTATTTCAACGTTCAAGCTCGACTCGTTTCCACGATATCACGCACGGAAGGAATCCAACTTATCTGCCGTGTAAGAGGCATGCCAGCACTCGTGTATATACGATAGCGGTAATACATCCAATTATTTACACGAATACAGGCATACTCGCAAAAACCAAACGGCGATCAAACAATTTTTGTTTTTTGTTTTTTTTTGCTCCTCCCCCTCGAAGTATGCCAACACTCCGGTCCGCGCGTCTTCGTCGAAATCTCGAAAATGCCTCGGTAAGTTGTTAATTGTGCGTTGCAAAGAAAAACACGCATACCCAACTTTTTAGAGCTCTAATCCGAAGTAATTACTGGTGGATGACGATCCGAGCACCTATACACGTACCATCGCGTGTATCTGCAGGATGGGAAGAAAGTTATGTACGGCGACCGGTGTCAGGGGCATCGAGTCTCCTCGGGAGGTCAAAGAAAGCGCAAAGACACACATGCCGGCGAGAAATAAAAGCGGAGAGAGGGTGGATAAATGAGGAAAAAGGAGAGGCTGGAAGGGTGGAATGACGAATGATAAACTTGAGGGTGAAGGGTAGGGGTGAGGAAAAAAAACCGGGAGGGAAGGCGCAGGTACGAACGCGCGGTGCGACGGAGAGGAATGGAAAGAATGTCGAGCCCGAGAGGAGGGAATTATGGATAAGACGAGGACGCTCACTCGTCATAAATTATCATCGTTCAGCTGGCTTGCCATTGTGTTTTCTGCTGCTGTAGTCATAGAGGAAGGTTGGGGGTGTCCCTACTTATTTGATTCCTCATAAAACGCGTCATATCCATCCCGTGGATGTATACGAATGCACCATCTCGTAAACTTATTTTTGGACATGACAGATATCGTAAAAATAAGTAAGTAGGTATACCATACCGATAAGCTTACTGATTTCTCAAGCTCGACGATTCTGTTTTTCTCGAAGACATAATGGTGATTTCAATCGGCCGCTGATTTGATGAAGTACTTCATTACTCCCTCGGAACATATACACTACAGTGTATCTCTACAGGGTCAGCTTTTTACGAGCTTTTTTCCTGTACGGCTGCCACGAACGATGTACACGACAGACAAGTAAAAGCAAACAGCATCGCCGCGAAGAAAGCATTATATCGCCTGTACTATTGCGCGTCTACGTGTGTATGCACAACGAGAGAAAGTTGAAGGATCGGTCGAGGAGACGCTGCAGCTTGCGAGTCATATTTATACATACGCTCCGTGATTAACGATGAAAAAATATATACGTTATTAATGTATCTTTAAGTCTACGACGGTGGATACAATGGACAACTTTTCTGCAAATAAGCCCGCATACACGGAGTATATGTACATAAAAACGTATACGGTGTACCTACAATAAACAATTTACATCTTCAAGGCTGGTTTGATTGATAACATCTGATGGGGGGGCGGACGAGTCATAAAGGTGTACAGATAAACAAACAAAGTACAAAATTCATAAACAGCTCGTGGTATGCGTTACTTTTGGACACGTATATACCCACAAACGGAGGAAAGAGGAAGAAAGCTCTACTTGCGCACACCGGTGTGGTGGATAAAACGCGCCCTGCTTAATTATACGGCGCCATTGTAAATCAAATTAAAATTCCCTGCCGCGTTTATCAAATAAACGCTTGATTATGATTAATCATCCCGTAATTAGCCGCGCGCAAGCACATGCACCTCCGCAACAACAACAGCAAAAGTACAACTAAATGTAGTACCTCGTAACACATATATATAGCACACAAATTATATACCCACACACCCAATGCATAAATTTGCGCGCGAGCGCCGAAAAGGCACTGTATGTATACTCGCGGTATGCAAACGTTGCGCATATAATATATATGTGTATACCAGCTACAGAGTGTGGAGCCGCATTGGGTTATTAGGACAGAGCGATTGAGCAATGGATCATATTTGATACGGCAATGTACGCTAATTACGGGCCCCTCTCCCCACGTCCGTCTTGGATATACATATATATGTACTCCGTAACGTGTGTACAACTCGGTAGCGCAATAACCCCCTCCCATCTACGTGGTAATGATTCGCCAATTTGCGTTCGCGCTCCAACAAATCATGAGTATCATACTTGTGCGCGCGGATCCAAAATTTATTAGTGCGCGCGGCCGCGCCTCCGTGCGTGATGGGATAATTTTTACACGAGCCGTATCGTTGTTCGCCGCGAAACTCTACGTGTATAGTGGGTGGGTACCTGTGTGGCGTATGGTATAGTATGTACAGAGTTTTGTGACAGATGAAAGTTCTGTGATGTATGTACTGTGTGCGCGAGGTGAGTGTTTTTTTTTTTTTTTTTTTTTTTTCAATCACCAAACGATCGTTCGCCCAAGATTGGTTTAACGAGGAAAGGATTGCGTTGCGAAATGCATTTGTTTGTTTGCTCGCTCGCCCGCGCTGCGATACCTGATGTGATTTGGACTCGGGCGCCTAACGAGTATACTCAAATCAAGACTAATTGCTCGCGAGGTGTCGAGTTATGAGCTTTTTTTTCGAAAATTGCAGTCTTTAATGGTTTTGGTGCGCGAAACAAAGGAAGGGCTAATGATTTTATCAGACATCCGGGAGTTTAATGTTGCACAGGAAAATTACTTTGGTGTCACATTCTTTATTGGCAGTGGAATGATTGCACTGGGTACAAATGATTTACCAATCGATACTGGAGGGTAGGCTTAATGTCGACCATCATTTTGATTTACTTGTAAAATTTGAGTATCCCCATTTTTTTTAAATCGTCAAAAACTTTATGGTTGAATATTGTCCAAGCTTTGTTGGCCAACTTCAATGTGAGTCTTTCGGCTTTGGAAAAATTTTCTCCCAGACGTGAAAAATTTCATTATCAACGTGCCATTCATCCGATAGTTACGATTTACCGCAGTCCTTCTCCAGCAATTTAAAGTTCTGCCCTCTGGCTCTCTGCCAGCGCGATTCTTTGGTCGGTTGTACGGTGACTCTCTTGAATTTTTCGTTTTCCAAGCTTTGGTGGCTGCCCTCTTTGAGGCCTGTTAAATGAATGGTCCTCGACAAAATGTAGGTACGCTCCCAAATAATAATGTACAATCGAGATCCCTTTTGCGCAAACCAAGAGTGGAACAGCGAATACGAAATTGAGCGTAGGAAAAACGAAAGCAGGAAGAAGAAAGGATAAGTAATGGAGAAATGAAAAACTAAGCCTATCGTAGCAGCAGATTAATCAAACGCACCAACGAATAACCTTGCCCCAAAGGCCGCACGTGCAAGATATGATTGACGATTCGTCAGTGCGCTATCCCCTTTGTACCTACATAATTATTATAGCCATGCGTATATACGTACTACAGCCACGCGACAACATCGGAAGGTCCTATCCTCAATTATCTCTAATTTATTCGCTTGCACATTATACGCGCGTTGAACATTATGATACGTGTAACTATAAGGCATGTACGCGAAAGTGAGAGTTTCGTTCTTACGTAAAAACATGCACACCCCAATCGTGAGCTGTTGGCTTTGTAATGGGACGACATGGGGAACACAATCGGTGTATGGGCGCCGATTAGGACTTTCTACGATTACGCGTCAAATGGACGAGGCATTTTTTTTTTTTTTTTTCACTTCCACCTTTATGTTTTGTATTATGTGATGTATGTATGAAAGCTGCAGTATACATAAGCTGCTGCTGCTGCTCATTTGAGCGCTAATATTACAGTCGTAAAGTATATTTTGTGTTCTTGTGTTCCCTTACAACTCGACATTTCCTTCGAGTCATGCGATTCAGCAGTCAAAATCGTAAATGTTGACTACACACTCACGTTCCCTCGACGCGTAACTATAATGACAGAAATGAAAATTTATCGACCTTTTTCAGGTGGTTACGCATATATTTCCAAAAGCCCAGAAACAGGTCGCACGATGAATCGGATTTTATTTTTTTTTTTTTACACTTTATTACAAATCGTTAGGTGGACGAGGAATTGCCTTTATAACATATACTCGCGTGTATTCGCCGTACACCTAAAGGCATTGGATAACATTTGATTATGTGAAAATATGCGGAAGGAGCTTCATCGAGAGCTCTCTGATACGCGCGAGCGTTTAATCATATAATTTGCTTGCCATTACCAGCGAAGCTCTCTCTCTCTCTCTCTCCACATCGTAAAACACTGCACGCGCGATATTATCCACGGCGATTACTTGGACGAGATAAAATGGATTATGCGCGCGTATATGGTCCAATCGCAAATCTAAAGGGGTAGAACGTGTACATCGATTTTCTACCTTTTGGATAATCAACCCCGGCATTGTGTCGTTTTTAATTTTAGTTACAAAACATCCAGGCACGCTATTTGCGTGTATAAGGTGAGCTTCGGGAGGATATACAGTAGGGCTTGGGATTCCTCGAATTTCCACCACTTCGGTGCCGAGGAGGCGCAAAGGTGTGCACGTGAAACTCGTTGGCTGTAAAACTCGAGCGCAAAGGATCAGGAATTTCATTAGAGCGAACGCGACTGGAAATTGTTCTGGCAAATTTCGCTCTGGGTAAGACACGCATGTGGAAAAACAAAGAATGTACATGCGCTTCCTCCCAAAATGAAAAGTGGATGTATGAATGAAAGGAAAAAAAAAAAAAAAAAAAACCAACCTTGTTTGACAACGATGCCAGGGGGCACTTGGACGATAGGCAGGCTCGCGTTGCCGGCCGGATTGACCGGTAGAGTGCCCGGAGGCGGGGAGGTACTGGCACTGCCAACCGAGCCCGGATCGCTGAAGCCCTGGGCGCTGTTCTCCTCGGGGCCGTCGAAGAAGCTCAAGTTGAACTCGCTGCCGGCGTCGAAGGACACCTCCGGGGTGAGGGTGTCGGGGGCCGGGGCGCTACCCAGGCCCGCCGTTAACGACTGGTCGATCTTGAACACGTCCATTGTCCAGGCAATACATTCGCGCTGGCTGTCCCCTCCGGGAGTGCCGAGCCTTTCCACTTTTTTTTTTCGTACTGCTGTCGCGCGAGCTTTTTTTCACCCGGAGGAAAAAAAAAAATTAAAAAAAAAAAAACTATTTACGAGTAAGTCGGTTTTTCCAACCCTCGCCAAACAGGAGCGTCGCAGCACTGTGTCACTGCACGGGGGGACATGCACTTTTTGTTTTATGCGACGAGAGAGAGGAAAAAAAAAAAAAAAAAAAAAGAGAAGAAAACTTTAGCTCGAGAGGGTGCTTCCGAGCGATGGTTGGGGTAACGCTGGTGCTCGACCGAGAACGATCTACGCGGATGGAGCTCCGACGAGTTGCGGGGCCCGACTTTTTTTCCTAGTGACGTCGCCGTGGCGGCTCTCGGCACCGATGGTCCTAGCTTCTTGCCGCTGGCGCTCTATCGGCGAGTCCATCGCTGAAACGAGATAACAAAAACGAAAAAGAAAAAATGAGATGGCGATAAAACAAAAAACGAGATGTGAAAACGGGGAAACATATAATTATGTGATGTGTTGGGGGAGGGGGGAGTTTTTTAACGAGCTCGGCGGAGGAGATAAGGACGTGATGTGCTCTGGTTGGGCGCTGCGAGTGTAGTTTTTGGATCGAAATGCTTGTGGTGGTCGTGTTCACGATGCTTTGAGAAGTTTATCGACGATCGGTTTAGGTGCTGAGGGTTTTGTAAATAAATTGTAAGGCAAAACACGAATGATTTTAATTGACTCTAATTGCGTTGTCATTTGATTGGTTACTCCATACCAAGAGAAATGAGAAATTTTCACATCCTCTCAGATTGGATTATCATGTATCATGACGGTGATTTTCATTTTTCATTTCTCTCAATGTAAAATTTATTTGTATTCAATAATTCGTCCTTTGCTATTACGTATCAAAGTCATCATCAGAAAATTTTTTGATAAAATGTAGTAACAAAGGACACAAATTAAAACTGATCAACAAATGAATTCTCGAAGCATCATACCAATTTTAAAGCATTACACGTACAAACTATTTGTTGAATTAAAAACAAATTACAATGTATTGAAAAGTATTGAAAAATAAAAGTACACGTGTTTTTGGTGACCCGATCGTCTTAGTCTATAGGCTGGGAGTTTTCGAAACAACGAATGGTCAAACAAAAATGTGCGCAATGTAATCATGAATGACATGAGTGAAAACAAATGGAAAAACAAAATAAACACTCAGCTGTCAAACACACCCAAGTTATGGCAGACTCTTGAATCCCGATCGTTTCGAAAGTACCTGGGCGCCCTTTTAAAAATGCATTACACTGTACTACAAGCAGGACGAAACAAAAAAAAATTCACTCCAAATGGAAGAGGAGGCAGAAAAATTCGCATGACCATACGTATCTACACGCTGCTGCTGTTGGCCCAACTCTCTCTCTCCCGAAAAAGCGTAATTTCAGACGCGGACAAGCCGCTCTCGTCTCCCGCATAACTTTCCCCGCAAGGAGCCCGCTGCGGATAAAAAAAAGTAAATATCACCGATCCAACGGCCAAACGCGATACGTATGCCCACAAGCCCATGGCCAAGACATTCACTATATGGTCAAGGAAGAAAAAGAAGCCGGCAAGACGAGAAGAAGAAGAAGAAGAAGCAGAAGAGGAGGAGGAGGAGAAGGCAAGACGCGCGCGCGAGAAAAAGTGAATGTCATTGCCGTAATCTTCGGACGTTGACTTCCTTCCCTCGTTCCTATACATACATATATATATATACATACAAATCTGTATAGACAAGCAAAGCAGAGTGAGGCTCTTTTCCTTCTCCCTCGTTCTTACTCGTTCTCCCGACCACGGCGCTTCCCTCCACCTTATTCTCGTATACTGGCTGGCTTTTTCTTTTACACACATCATATGCTCCGTGTTAAATAATTCTCTCTCGCTGATGCTCACTTCACGTGCTCGCTCGTTCCCCTCGTATTACGCGCTTACGTCTTTGCGTCATTTTCGTCATTTGTATAAATGTACATACACTCACACACGAGGTAAAGGAGGTTTCCCTTCTGTTTTCTCTCTACGAGGCGCTTAATTGGATTACCGGCATTGTCGGCGCTAATATATAACGTATATAGGTACGCGAGCCGTTTCTCATGGCATTGAAAATCAGGGTGGATCAGCATAATGCAAAACAAACGTGATACAACTGCCGGCGCGCTGGCGAAGAAAGCCAAAGAGCTCTTTTTTTTTTTTTTTTCTTTTTTTTCGTGCGTGCGCGTAACTAACGAGTCGCGACGTATTTGACGGTACTGTCGCGCGCTCCGCTTATTTTTTGTGGGTTTGTTAGCTCGCGAGCTTCAGCTCTGAAGCTTCTGAAGTAACAGGAACGAGTCTTTGAGTGTACATTTATATTTATTTATTTATAGGTATACACGTATCTCACGTGAGTCGAGAGACGGAATGGCGTATGGTGCTTCCGTGGGATTGGGGGAAAACGATAGAATTGCGCAACGAGGATCGATACAACGTCGGGTGCTCTCTCCGAGTCGCGATTATGTATTTGTATCGGCGATGTATACGGTTGCGCAAGCATTCGTAATTACACATGCATGTTATGCGTGTAGTGAAACCGATCCGGGCGTGTCGTATATTATATGGTTGGAAGCGAAAAGTACTCCGGGTCTCGCGTGTTTCGGGCATTTCTGATCGGGAATCAATCCGGTTTTCTGGCATTCTCGGGAATTCCCGATTCAATGCTGTCATATTTATGTGTTTCTTTTTTTTTTTTTTTTTTTCTCATTTCTCTTCCGTACTGTTGGGTAGTGCGTTGAATTTTCAAAAACAAACCTGTAAAATTTAGTGCTCGTAAGGAAAAGAAAATAAAATACATGGTGTCGACGAGAGTATCAGTGAGGATTGGAGATTTAACTGTTAATTCGAGTAAAAGTTGGATTGTCCCTTCGATCCACGTGATAATAGTCCCCAGTAACAACATTCCATTCCGGCGATTTTCTTACCACGTCCCCTTCTCGCTGGTGTAATACAGTAAAACCAAGAAGTAATCAAGAACAATCGGCCCAATCGTCACGGGCGTGACATTTGTGGAAGTATAAAAAAAAAAAGAGAGGGGAGAAAAAAAACCCAAGCTCGTTCTCTCTCGTGCATAAAAAACAGTCCAATGCCCCTGGAGCGAGCGTTAACCTCCGCGTCCTTATCGAAAATTTGACTGCTTCCGATCGGCCGATCGCGCGAGCGAGATATACAAATACGCTCCGACGCGTCTCTCGGAAGCGGTGAATTTTTTTCTTTTCCTTCGTTATTGTTGGGCGAATCCTCTGGTTACCGCGTGCGCCACATATACGCGCGCGCGCGTGCGTCGGCGCGTGAAAAACGCGAAACCACAGTACATACATCGGGAGATCGGCAGTGTGTACATTATACTCCTGTAGCCCGTAATTTTCCTGTTTTGTATCGTCTTACACGAATCTTCCACGATTCCTCCACATATTCGTTCCAGGAAGGGAATACTTATCAATTTTTACAGATTTACAGGTAAAGTCGACCAACGATTCATTCCGCCTCCCCCATGACAAAACACTGCCGTTTCGATACATTCATCACAACAATCACGAGGGGGGAAGTAGCGAAAAAAAAGAAAAAAAAACAGCAGCAGCAAAAAGCGAGAGAGAGAGATCACCTGAGCGCACTTTAGCCGCTCCGTTTCCTCTCCGTTGCGCTAAAAACACACAACGTGCACTCGCACCCATTGCCGGTGAAGACAACAAAACAAAGGAGAGCAACAGCCGTTTCCCGACCCGAGAGCCATTATTTCCACTCGACAGTGTATAGCAGCGATAAAACTTGGAACCCGTGATGCACTGTGTGTGGGTAGTCACGTATTTTCACTCTTCACACGCGTAGCTACGGGTACGGTGGAAAAATTGAAGAAAAAAATTCTACTGCCGGCGATTAGTTGTATTTACATTATAACAAACAAAAAAAAAAAAAAAAAAAACCATGCACGCGCACGCATATACAGCGAGTCCCTGGGGTAATTACCTGCGGAGCTCGGGCCCTCCGCCGTTCCTCCATCCATCCACGGTTAGGGCTCTCCTCTCCGTTGTTGGCGCACATATGCGTGTATACGCGGTTTATTACGCACATAACACTACAAACACGTAACCATCAGCAGCCACTGCAGCAACGAGAGAGAAAGAAAGACACACGTGCACGACGAGGGAAGATCGTCAAGCTCCTGTATGGATGTATATTTTCTATACAGGTGGACCTGTCAATTGCTCCTTAATCGATACATGGGGGAAAAAACAAACGCAACACTCTCGATAACACTGTATTTTTTTTTTTCTTGCGTCATTCGAAGTATATGAACTTTGTACGAGGTTCGAGCACGTGGAAATCGGTTCACGCGATCGCGCTCCGAGTGAAAATCGGAGGGTGAGGACCGGTCACTCGCGCACTTGCTTTGTCGCCTGCGTGCACCAAAAAAATCGGTATGTATTTTTTCTTCCTCTTCCGTGCCGGTCACTGCTGTATCCACGGGTTATCCATCATCGCACCCGGTACACTCAAATTTAGGAACAAGTATGGTTTTCGTCGCCGATTTTTCTCCAACGAAAGAGTTCACGTGCGTCGTTTTCTTACCGATCGTTTTGAATTTTTTTTTTTTTCCCTCATCTCATCGATCTATAGATGATAAGCAGAGTACGTGTGTTGAAAAAAAGGGGGAAAAAAAAAACAGGCGAGCTTGTGCCGATCGCAGAGGAGGCTCAACCGGTCGTTACGGCGAGCGTTGTTGTACGCGAGTAGCGCGCGCGGCCTTACCTGTGAGGTAAGTAAAGAGCCGGCGCGCTCGCCGTGTTACGGCATTGCAACTCGCTCTCTCGGTTGTGTATACTCCGGTGAACCAGCGAAAGGGGCAAAGGAAGGGGGACTATACGCCGCTGCAAATTTCGCTCTCTCTCTCGCTCTCGCTCCCA